GTGATTGAAATTTACGCTTGATCGTGCCAGTGTTCTTGTTTCTGATTCGAAACTGCGTCCGCCTTGGCAGGAGAAAGCACGATTTAAATTTGTTTGGTCGTCGACTCACTCCATCGTTGATTCTAACGGCAGTTTGTCCTGTCAAGGAGAGGGGCGCATGTTTAAAATCTGCCGGAGCGTTCATATTTTTCTTTAATAAAATTTCTTGAATAAAAATCGTCACAATATATTGGAAAAGCGTAAGTTTAAACTGACACCAGAAGAATATAGGTTAAATGCAAGGTAATGTCTTTTTAGATTCGCCTTGGGGAAATACTATTTCAGTATGTAGGTTCCCTTAACTCAGTGATTCTCAGCCAATGCAGTCCTGTGGTAATATATAGCAACCTGGCAATATATAGTCAATGCAGTCTTGTGGCAATATATAGCAACCTGACAATATATAGTCAATGCAGTCCTGTTGCAATATATAGCAACCTGGCAATACAGACTTATACAGACTTATATATAGTCAATGCAGACTTGTTGCAATATATAGCAACCTGACAATATATAGTCAATGCAGTCCTGTTGCAATATATAGCAACCTGGCAATATATAGTCAATGCAGTCCTGTTGCAATATATAGCAACCTGGCAATATATAGCCAATGCAGTCCTGTGACAAAATAGGAAACAAAAAGGAAAAGAAAAATCAGATCTTTATTGAACATGGAATATTTATTTAGAGCACATTCCACGATAATGCAGTCTGACAAAATAACAACAACAAAAAAAATGGAAAAGAAAGTAAATAAATTAAACAAAATATAAACCAATAGACAAATTTCTTCTGTTTAAATAATTTTGCATATAAAAAAAAACAATTTTCCGTGGATCCAAAGGTTTTTTTTTTTTCTTTTTATGTTGTTCATTTAAAAAAAAATTAAACGGACTGTACAAACAAAAACAACAACAAATAAACAAAGTAGAAACAAAAATAGGAAAATTGTCCACCTGATGATACACCCGCTTCGCACCCCTGGAGCACCCTGAATCCTCTGTCAATTGAGGGCCGAGCGAGAGTTAGGCAGTACCGACTACATGGACCAACATGAAAAAGTGTACTATTTGTGAACGTATACGTTTGTGTATGCGTGTGTGTGTGTGTGTACGCGCAGGTATGTGTGTGTATGTGTGCTGGAAGGTGCAGACAATCTTTCGCGTGCGTAAATGTTTATGGCTGCATTTATATCAGCATATGCATGTGTATTCGTAATAGTATACATGTGCACCTGTGCGTGAACATATTATAGTACCAGGGAAACCTTTCTTTCTCTCTCTCACTGACACTCCCTCTCTCGCCTCTCTCTTCATATATATATATATATATATATATATACATACATATATATATATATATATATATATATATATATATATATATATATATATATATATATCGACGCGATTAATGGTGTAATGCATTACAAACCACCATCATATACAGAATGGGTTACAAAAATAAAGTTCCTGAAAAGAAGAATCAAAACAACGTTTTACATCAGATTATAATTTATGAAAGTCAAATGCGCATGCGTGTGTTCGTTTACATTTCCGGTTGAATAAGAAAGGAGAAAAAACTGTTTTTTTTTTTGTTTGTTTGGTTTTTTTTTTTCGTTAGTTTTCGTCAGCTTAGTTTTTTTTCCGAATATGATTTATAACTATAATCTGTATATGTTTTAACGTATATCACATATGCGTGGTTTAAGATTGACTATATGTAATTAGTTTTATTTCAAGTTTCCCGTTTATTTCGAAGTGTCATTCTGAATCAATGTGAAGATTAATAAGAGTGTCATTAAGAACAGCAGCAACAAAAATCAATCAAAAATTTTTTCAGTTTTTTTTTTTTTAAAGCAACTTAGTTCTCTTTTTTTTTTTTCTTTTCTTTTCTTTCTTTTGAAATCCGTTTAAACTGTTCAAATCTGTAATCCATCGTAATTTTGATATCGATTTGAAAATCGTTTTCTAGGGAATTTTTTAAATCCGTTTTGGCTCCCTTTCATTTAGTCGAGATCACTCCAATTAACATCGAAGCGTACATCCTTTACCATCTCGTTTTCAAATTCGAACATGTCGTGGCTTGTTTTCCTCGTTTGCCGTATCAAGTCGCGACTCGTTGCTGAAATGAGAAAAGAGTAAAATATCGGTAAAAAAAAATTGGAAAAAAGTAGGAATTTAGTCGACAGACAAGAACATAAAGTCAGGGAACTACAAGCGGGCAAATGAACAGCGTTTTTATTTCTTCTCGTAAGAAAATAAATGGGGTCTACGCATTGTGAAAGCAGAAGTTTGGTTTTTAAAGAAGTTCATTCTTTCACATGCAGGCTGATTTTTTGACGGTTAATGCAAGTAGTTATGAGTGTTGAAGCAAGGCTGAAGAACGCTGCGACTTGGGGAAAATCAAGAGGAATTTGGGTTTGCTTTAAAGAACCAGTTTATAAAAAGAGAAGCCGCCAGGATTTAATCCCATTCATTTTTATTTCTTTATTTAGTTTTTTTTTTTCAGCAACAATTTTCAAGCCATCTGAAACAAACAGATTTATTTTGTTTGCCATTCTGATACCATATAAAGGAAAATAACTCCCGTTTCTACAATTATAAAGGCATTTTATTGGGTTATGGCAGTGTTTCTCAGCTCTTTAGGCAACGACACACCTAGGATCGAATGAAAATATCAAGGCACACTTAGCAAAAATTTTTAAGGGTATACATTTGAACTTATGGAATAAGACCATAGATCTAAAAAAAATATATACACACTAGTATAAACTTACTTTATTTTAATGTCTCTATTCAACTACTTTTACAAATTATTTAGTAAAATACAAACGCTGTACCATTACTACTTACACACACACACACACATATATATATATATATATATATATATATATATATATATATATATATATATATATATATATACCGTGAAAATATTTCGCGTCCCACTTAAGTGGATTGCGCGGCAGTGTATCGGTTTAGAATGACTGAGTTAAGGGAACATAAACACTGAAATAGTATTTAACCAAGGCGAATCTAAAAAGGCATCGTCTTCGATTTAACCTATATTCTCCTGGCTTCAGTTTATACTTACGCTTCCTTGTTTATCTGTCTATATTTCTGAGATGAGGTATTATGTACATTATTTACATTATTCGGACTATTGTCGTAATCTTTGTCGCCATATTTATTACAACAATTCGGCCGTTATACGCCCCTGCCTTCTTCAGGTGGTTGGGATGTCGAACTTAACCCTTTATTTCGCTCACTGGGGTAGACTGTTCTAGTTCCACGTACCATGTTTAATGGATGTCAGTTATCAGTTATCTTCTGTTAATTTCCCTCTGAAAGTTCTCCACGGGTTCTCACACTATTTGCGTCCTGTCACTGGATCTAACCAACGCCTTTATCCACTGTACCATGTTGTCCTTGTTTCTAATTACCGTACTACAAGTGAACAATATAAGCTGATATATTGTAACGATTTTGCTTAAAGTTCCTATTTTCTTAATTTTAGATATATACTTGGAAATGTTCCAATATATTTCAGTGAAATTTCTACTTACTAAAATTATAGTTTAGAATTATAGTTTAGAATTATAGTTTAGAATTATAGTTTAGATATATGAAAAAAAGAAGACATCTGTTTAGACTGACGCCAGGAAGATATGGGCTAAAAAAATAAACAAAATGAAAATGAAATGTTTATGCATAATTCGATTTCATTTGAGTGGGTAAAATTTAAAAGAATCAGAAATCAAGTAACATATTAATATAACAAAATCTTTGGAATATAAATAGACATTCAATTTGAAAGCTTAAATGATAATGAATGCTGGACAATCTCATCACGGATGAAGAAGATTCTTGAGACAATGGAAATGTGAATGATACTAAAAAATACCATGGCCTAAACATGTGATCAACGACGAAGTTTTAGAGAAAATGGAAATAAGAAGAACACATATATGTGTACTCAGAAAGAGACAATTGAAATTTCTTAGACATATAAGGAGGAAAGAGGGCTTGGAAAATTTAACATGCACGAAGCATGTTGAAAGCAGGAGGGACAAAGCGAGTAACCTACCTAACTAGTTTGTGTAAATGCTTGGCAGAAAAGAGATTAGGAGCGATAGCAAGAAGAGAAATATTGCAAAGAGATAAAAGGGACAGAACGCTTGTGGAGAACTAATATCGCACACGTCCTGGAAGGACACGACGCAAGGGAAAACCTTAGAAGATCGAACCAAGGAGAAGTGCTTGCAAGAAGACTTTCTGATAAAAGAAAAGGACCAGCCTGTTTTGAAAATAGAGATTGCTTTCAACTGGACTTTTCCTTGGCCAAGCCGAGCCGAGCTGAGCCGAGCCGAGCCGAGCAGAGCCCGGTTGAGCCAGGTGGTTAAAATTTATTACATTGCGCTCAAACTTCAGTGAGCGTCACCTCCAGACACGAGACTCTTCACAAGAGGAGGCTGTGCTTACTACCTGGCACCAAAAAGGAAATGATGAAGAGGCGTAAAACACAGTCCAGTTTGAATAGATTTATTTTTTCTTTACAAAATCTTTCTTTTTTTAAATTTAAATACATAGTTATCGCCCCTATTATGGTGAGTATTGTTCAAATATCCTAGTGATCTCCCCTGATATAAACCGACTAAAGTAAATTTATATTAACACACTTTTGTAGAGTAAGGGACTTACCTTGAAATTAGTGCATTCTTCTGGAATTAAAAAGTCCCGCCATGAGAGAAAAATATAATTTCATAATATCCAGAGCTCGAAAATTAACATGATGAGAAATTTGGATTATTAAATTGAAAAGCTTCTTGATTGCTTTAAAAGTGTTTCGGTAGCGATAAGCAATATTATATATATATATATATATATATATATATATATATATATATATATATATATATATATATATATATATGCAAGTATACTTTTATATACAGATCATATGCAGATAGATAGATAGATAGATAGATAGATAGATAGATAGATAGATAGATAATTACACTGAGATATAGTTATATAGATAGATAATGAGTACACTAAAAGATAGATAGATAGATAGATAGATAGATAGATAGATAGATAGATAGATAGATAGATAATAATTACACTGAGATATAGTTATATAGATAGATAATGAGTACACTAAAATAGATAGATAGATAGATAGATAGATAGATAGATAGATAGATAGATAGATAGATAATAATATAGATAAAAATATAGATAGATAGATAGATAGATAGATAGATAGATAGATAGCTAATAAGTACACTGAGATATATAGATGAATAATGAGTACACTAAAAGATAGATAGATAGATAATGAGTACACTAAAAGATAGATAGATAGATAGATAGATAGATAGATACTGATAGCAAAAGGTAGAAATTAATCTAATATTCAGCAGTCAAATAAAAGTGACAGCACAGTTTTTCTTTGATCATTAGAGAAAAAAAAACGATTTTTTATCGTAATTTAACAAAGAAAACGTCACGCATTAAAATCCAATAATTGAATTCCATTTTATCATAAATTTGTCTTCGTATCACAATTTGTAACCAAAATCGCCCCGATACAAGTGGCAAGTATAAAATGCATAAAATGAATTATAAATTTATAAGGTAATAGTTAAGACATACTGACGATGCACTTTGCTAATGTTAACATATGTGCTTTAATTCAATAGCCATGTAAGATTCAATGTTGCCGTTCCTTCTCAATTTAAAAGAAATATGTGTAGAAAATTAGGTCCTTATGAACTGTTCGCAAGATTATATACAAGTCCCCTTAACTTACCATTTGAAATCGGTTTCTGAAAAGTAAGCATCATTCATTTAAAATGCAACAAATGGCAAACACAAATCATAGGCAGTGTTTCATAATGATAGGATACAGAACCATTTGTAATTAACGGAAAGGTTTAAGAACTTTCATTCACTCCGATGAGACAGCAAATATTTTTAAAGAAATGCATAAAATTCCATTGCAGATTATTTTAGTGTTTAAATGCATTACAAATTATTTATTAGACTCTTTGTTTATTTTAATACATTTTACGTTCATACGTTAATTTTATAGATACAAATATTTACGTAAATGCTCTGTTTATAATAAACAGTATTAACAACATTCGCTGGCCTGAATTTCATAGAAAATATGTGTCCTCCGAAAATTCATAACCAAACGAGAAAATATGTGTCCTCCGACAGGAATCGAAACTGCATAACCAAACGCTTCCAGAACATTTACTGTTTGCTAAACAGTAATATATAGCCTGTTCCAAACTCTCTGTTGAGAAGATACCCGGACGGTTTGTCGAAGGACAACGTTTCATCCGGGGAGGTAGACACCCTGAACCGGTTTATGCATTAAAATATTTTTTGGCCGGGCCTACGGAATCGGAGAACCCACGGTAAACTCGGCCTTGTACCACATATATCGTGGGGTGGGGCTGTTAAAATATTAACAGTATATGACTGGAGGATTTATGTTAAATATAACAGTAATATGACTGGAGGATTTATGAAGTAAATACAGTAAAGCTTCGATTTAAAAAAACTAATTGAGAGGAGAGTACGTTCCTTAAATCCGATAAAGTCCATATTTCGTAAACAGTAATTTCTGTAAATTATTTAATGAACATCATTTTGTTTAGTCCAAGATAGTCAGCATAGAAATGACTAATGTTACGTAAAACTGTATAAAATATCAAATAAGACAATGGTACATATCTTTCCTTGTCAGAGGATTTTTAGAAGAGGTAATGTAGATGTAATATGCACTTTAATTTACTTTGTACTAATAATCAAGGCCCAGAAAACGTGAAAAACTTCATAAGTAAATAATAATCCTATCAATTTTGATAACAGAGTTGTCAGTACTGGCTTATAATGGCCAATTGAATTTTTATACTTGTGTTACTGGTATATTTTGTTTTTGTTTGGCCCATTAATGAACCGGTTTATGCGGTTTTAAATCCATAGTAGCCAAAACAAACTGAATCAAAATTTTTTTGATTTTCCATGTTTGGCCTACGAATTGTAAATAGCTCAAAAAGGTTTGAAAATAACAAATCAACTTTTCCACAAAATCGCAAATAAAAAAAAATAATCCTTCGATATTTTTCTAGAATCCCAGTAAAAATAAGAAATACATTATGGCCCGTGTGGCAGGAAATTTAATATTCCATAAATCGTTTTATTTTTTAGTTTTTTATTTTAGAATCCCGCATTTTTTTTTTATTTTTATTTTCCACTGATTTTACTGTTACAAAGGTCTTTCCCCTTATTTTAGCGTGTCCTGTATAGTTTGTGTGATTATCTCCGATAACAAAATTTACCAAAGGTTTTTAATTCATCTGTCTCAAAATATTCGTGGTGTGTTGTTAAATTTTTTTTTTTTTTTTTTTATCTCCGATCCGTTACATAGACAAAGTTTGTGTGATTAAGACATATAACAAACGATACTGGACGTTTTTGTTTCTATTTTTAATTTCCATATTAATCCAGTGGTAAAAAGTCCAATAATTCCAACGGTCTTTTAAAAAGGGTTCCGATTATCGTTCGCGACCTATTATAGCCATTCACTCCTTATTATTATTTTGTTTTTTCCTTCTCCTATTTTATTATTATTATTATTATTATTATTATCATTATTATTATTATTTTGTTTTTTGATTTTTTGCCTAAACTTGTGTAAGTCGGTTTCAGCAATCAGCATGCATGCTAAGAATTGAAAATGTGGAATAAAATGATTGTTAGCGGCTAGGAATTTATGAAAGCATTACTGACAGAACAGTGTACAACGGGTACAATGCCGCTAATCAAACTCAAGGTGTTACGGCCACAAATAAGGTGGAATATAAATATAAAAAAGAACTGCTAATAACAGTCAGAAAAAAAAACAGCTGAGTTTTTTTTTTGTTTTTTTTTTTAGATACGTAATGAGAAAAAAGGCTTGGAGAATTTAACACACACAGGGAACAGAAGGTAAAAGCATAGGAAAAACCGATTAATTTACTTGACAAATTTTTGCAAATACATAGACGAACATGTACCAAGACGAAAAAAAAAGCAGGTGATAACGAAGAAAGCACTGCTGAGAGCAACAAAAGACAGAAATCTGAGGAGAGCCATTATCGCCGACCTCATGAAGGGAACTAGCACATAGAAAGTGACAGGTGTCATGCATATCCAGTTAGGCAAATCAACAAAATTATAATGATTTTAAATAAAATCCTGGTTATTTTAACCGATGTGTGGATAGCGCTACAGTTATCGGTGCGGAAAGTGAAATCGGCGAGTATAAAAATTAAAATTCACTTTCACTTTCACTTTCTCTTCTCACTCCAATTACGAGTTGAATAACAAGGTAGACTGTGCTCTCTAGCCTTGGATAGCAGCCAGTCTAAGAGAAAGACAACACTAAACTGTGGAGAAAGCAACGGGAAATCATTTCACTCTCTTTCCCAAAATCGGTGGAGGGCCATGATTGCATACGATCTAAAGGAACATTGTATTTAAAAAAAAAAAAAGAAGATATTTAAACCACTTTCATGTTTACTTCAGATTAATGTTTTCAGTTTTGTTATGGTAATTTACCCACGCACGCATGGACTCTCCCAGCTATAAATAGGAGCAGGTACTGCCATTTGGAGAGGAAAGTTTCAGCAGTCAGCTCTGACAGTCGGACCGAACATTCTTGCTGTAACACTCTCGTTTGTATATGTTTGCATTACTGTTTCTGTTAATATATTTGTCTAACACTATTCCTCACTTGTGTTTTTATTTCTGGCACTAACAAGGCCACAACACTTTTTGAGGATAAAATGTTAATAAAATTATTATTAGTAGTAGTAGTAGTAGTAGTAATAAGAATATTTCATTGATTGATTGATGATTTAAGATAATAATGATTAGTGATACAAGTTTTACTAATTAACCCATAGCTGTGGGAGACGTAAATTCATACCTTTCGTAAATGAGTTGATCTCAACTGGAATTAGAACTCGGCTCTCCGTTCAACAATTCCGAGCCATCATCCATTACATCACCCACACATCCAAGCTTAAAGCACTTGGTATTCTCAAATAGTTACCCATCTAGGTATTAACCAGGCTCGTACGGGAACCAGTGTTTTAACCTGATGTGGCCGTAATCCCATGAAAATAAGTGAATATACTTCAATACTGAACTTCGATCGAAGGTAAATAAAACCAAATTTCTCTTTATTATGATAGTTTTCATTCAGTCGAGATCTTTTCACTACCATTGATTTTTTTTTAAGCGAGAGATGAGATTTTAAATGGCGGAAAGTTTTACTGTGCACGTTTTAAATTTTTATGCACTTCCTTTGATTTCAAAACAGATGCATTTAATAGCATTTGTAGTTTGTATGCAAAAACACTTCTAGAATAAAGAAAAAAAGACTTAAAGTAAAAGAAACAGTGAAAAGAGTAGAAAAGAAAAATATAAGAAAGAAGACATTTTGGGTTCATTCTGAATAATTTCCTCGTCTCTGTTGCTTTTTTTTTTCATTCGAACTTGTGGTCATTATTCTAAAAATATCGCACATTTCACATCTGATACATGTCCCACCCGGTGTACCTGCATGCAAGCTCATGGAATCCTATTCCTGTGACGCACGCTTAAAACCCTTGGTTTTCAGTAAACTAGGTGAATTTCATGTTTTCGTAAACTAAAATGCATAGTTTGTTCTATGTCTTACCAGTGGCTCCCATTTGCCATTGATATCTATTCTTGGCCTACTGATCGGGTTATTTGAACATTATATATGTACTGATCACGTCAACTATATTATTCTTTATGTTCGCTATTATTTTAACTTCATTGCACTCTTTACCTCAACACATGATCAGCCATACCTGATTTTGAAGATAATACAGGGTTCCTTAAGTTTTGATTTTATAACGCGTTTGGTTTCGCCTTTATACGTTCTCTGTCATAAATGCAAGGAATGCTGCGCACGTATCTCTGTAGTATTTTTCTCAATGGAGGTTTAAATTTTTCAAGATATTTGAGTAGAGTTTCACCACTTTTAACTATAGTCCTGATGTTGTACGGAACGTATATTCTTTGGATTTTCTCCACCAGGCCAATGAAGTATGGTAGAATGGCTGTAGCCAGGTTTTGTTGTCTTTTAAAGCCGTGCGCCACTTGGTGCGTACCCTCGGCAGGTCGATCAGCACAGCGACTGAAATGTTATGATAAAATCAACAAAGACAAGGAAATTAGTGTGAATGAACCAATATACAATATTTGCAGCATCTCGCTTTAAAATTTTTTTTTTTTTTTAAATCATGCATATATTCACTTTATCGTGTATATCTTTTTTTTAATCATTTCACCTCAAGCAGGGCGGAAATACCACTTGTAAACACGGGGGGTGTTACAGAGAGCAAAAGTAAGAAAAAAGACGGGGTATCCGGGGAACTGAGAAAAGGACAAAAGATGAACGGGATTTAAGAAGATAGAAGATAGCGAGTGACTTTTTATTTTAGTTTTTGAAGATTGTAGTTTTCAGGGAAGCAAATAAACGGAAGGGAGTTCCACAGGGGGGAAGTGCGAGAAAAGAAACTCTTGGAGTAGAAGTGGCGGTTACATTTAACTACTTCAACAATAAAAGGGCGGGACCTAGATGCCAATCTAGTAACACGCTTAAATCCATGTAGTTGGGGCACCAGAGAAGAAAGTTCATCAGAGCAGTTGCCGTGAAAATATTTGTAGAAAAGACAGAGGGAGGACACGCCGCGTCGGTGAGAAAGTGACTGAAGTCGAGATGCCTGGTCAGGTTCTATTACATTGCAGATCCTTATTTGGATCTTGTCAAGAACTTCGAGGTGAATAGCAGGAGCATCAGACCAGATATGATAACAGTATTCAATGCACGGACGAATGCTAGATTTGTAAATGTCCAAGATGGATTTTTCTGGCACGGCACAGTGACCCAACTTTCCTTGCAGTAGATTCAACTATTGATTCTGTGTAATCGTTCCACTTCAAGTCAGTCGAAAACGTTAGGCTAAGAAGGTACAGTGTCTTGCTCTCCAGGAGTCTAGCATTAGCCATAGTGATGGCAGGTAGAAACGTTTCTCTATGGTGATTAAATGAGAGCAGTTTTGTTTCGGAAGCATTCAAATTTGCAAGCCATTTCCTGTCCATAAATTGGAGGTCGGTTTCAAGCGTGGCAGCCAGGTTCACTATGTCAGCTATGATGGAATTGCTATTGAGACAGAAGTAAATGGCAGTGTCATCTGCATAAATGCCTACTTAGGAACTGATAACACCAGGAAAATCATTGATGAATATCAGAAACAATGTAGAACCCAGGATAGAACCTTGGGGGACACCCACATTTACGTAAAAGTATCTAGAAGCAAGCCGTTCAAAAAGACCTTCATTTCATATTTACATGTAAATGAGTTATCTAAAACAACAGTAGAAAACCGGAATTGGTTTAACAACAAGTGTATTACCTTTTAGTACAGGGAAAGATAATGTAGGATAGAAACTACGGAAGATAATGTTTAGCCGTGAATGACTGTCTTCAGTAAAGGCTACTGCTGCTACTACACCTCCTGCTACTCCTCTTGATGTAGGAGAATTTTTATTTCTTTCCTCCGACAGCCGAGTTCAAACTTGTTGGGAAATATTCTCCTTCACAACACATGTATAAAAACTAGAGTAGATTGTACATAGATTCACGTGTTCAAAAATATGAACTGGAATTGAAATGAGGGTACCTACTCTGAATCTATAATACAAAAATCAGAATGTGGAATTGATAAATTCTAAAAAAAAAAAAACGCCAAATGCCTCAGCGTATTGCTCAGTTATAACAAATTCGATATAAGTGATGAGGAAATTGAACACAAGATTGATTGCATTAAGATTAGTTTTTACAACACCGTAAGATGCTTGAAAACCAAAATATAAATTGGAAAACTAGAGTCCTGTTCTTAAATAACATCGTCAGATCTATACTTTTCTATGGATGTCATACATGATGTCCAGTCTGTTCAATGTTTAAATTATTATCTATATATAAAATGTTTTCTCAGGACAATGAACCTTGAAGAAGAAAATTCTTCATCGGACCCGGTAGACTGACGCTGCAAAACCATAAGGAAGTTTATCAAATAACAGAAACCACATCATTTGATTTTGTGATTCAACGAACACTCGTTGACACTTTTGTGATGTCAACGAATACTCGTTGTCACTTTCGTAATACTCGTTGTAGTACAGACTTTGTAATCTCAGATACAACTATAGTAACGCCGATGAACAATACTAATGTCAGACGCCTTCGAATAAGTCTAATACTAATAGCACTTGCTCGATAATACTAATCCGTATAGTGATCTGAATAGAGAAATAGTATAGTGAATAGTGTAGAGAATAGCGGTCCGTATAGTAATAGAGGATAGAGGAGAAATGCAGATCCGTACAGCATAGGGGATAAACTAGAAATGCGATCAATTAGACGTCATGCGAATTCCTATATACGTGTGTTTCCTCTCTGGTCACGTGGTCTACTTAATTCAATAATGGGATCGCCTGTGTTTGCTTACTGGCGATATGCGTTCAAACTCAAATGTCGGCAACGACACTTTATTACTGTATAACACTTGAAGACTTCCAGTAGTAGAAATGACAAAAATGGGTAACAAGAAGAGAAAATAATTATATAATCAAGATGTCAACTTGCCTCACTATCAAAGATTTGAAAAGAAATCTTGCATCATTATCATGATTACAATTATCATTACAAAGAGCTAGTTACACAATGGTGATACCAAAAGGTACAGAAAATTCAGAAATCTGGGAAGTGTTTTAACAGAGGACGGACAGTGCGATACTGAAATCCGAAGATGTAATGAGATAGCCAAAGATGCATTCCAAAAGTTAAGCAAAGTATTAAGCGACAGAAAAAATTCGTTAGAGACAAAGAAAAAGTACTGAACTCTGACTTAATATCAGTTATCCTGTACAGCAGTAACCGCTGAGCAGTCTCCTTGCAGATGAAGAAGAGACTTGAAGCAACAGAAATGCGGATCTACAGAAGGATGCTGAGAATACCATGAACCGAACATGCGAACAACGACAAAGTTTTAGAGAAAATAGAAGCAATAAAGAAACTTATACTTAACATAAAGAAGAAACTGTTAACATTTCTATGGCACATACTGAGGAAAGAGGGTTTGGAAAATCTGATACTCACAGGGCAGACTGAGAGCAAGAGGGACAGAGGAAAACAACGTATAACTCAGTGAGCTTAAGTAAATGGATGGCGGAATAGATTTTAGGAGAAATGAAAAAAGATAAATTTTATTAAGTGCTACAAAGGACAGGAAGTTATGGAGAGCCATTAACGACTACGCCCTGAAGGAACACAGCACATAGAAGAAGAAGAAAAAAATCTAATTTCCTAAAATACTGTTGTTAAGACAAAGATTTTATAAATTTTAACAGACTGTACCTCTAACTCTGAAGAGTTAGAGGTACAGTCTGTATGAAAACGACTATGGCTGAATGAATTATAAATGATTTCATTCTGAGAATTCATTATTATTGTTATTATCATTAGAACATATTGCAAATGGTTTTACTATAAAGATTAATATTAGAAAATGCGATAACAGAAAAACCTTATTGGAAGGAAAACTTGATCAGTAATAGAAAGAACTATTACATTTAGTGGACTTAACCATTTGAGCCCTGACCGTCGCTTTAACGGTGGTAGAGAAAAATGGCGTAATACTCAGCCACCGGTTGAACAGTGGTAAAGAAAAATGACAATCCCTATTTACCGGTTTAACGGTGGGTAAACACTTGTAACTATTTTTATATCTACCGTGAAATATTACATACCAATTATTTGCGAATTTTGACTCAAGAGGTCAGGCAGAAGGGTTAAAATTGTTCAGGAACGCAGAGCTAAAATGGGTTAAGAAGTTTAATTTCTTGGGAAACAGTTTTAAGAGAAAGAGTTTACTTTTAACTGACAGTAGCACTAAATACTCGGCTAGTGAATGACCAACCTTTCCTGTACGGAAAAGCTTAATATCATGAAATAGTCACTATTCCGTTGTGATTTTATTCCTGTGAATAAATTATTCAAAATGATTTTGCAGAAATGATGTGGCTATCTGTTCCATAATTAGAATTTGTAAGTGTCCACAGAGTTTTTATTTAATGAAATATTAACATTTATATAAGAAAATTCAAGTCAGGATTTTATGGACTGTAAAGAAATATTTACTAAATATCAAAACTTGGTTTATATATGCTTAGTAAGCTTACATTAGTCAGACATAAATTCAGACTTGGGAAAAAAATATCAAGGTAGGAAGAAGTGTTCCGCCATTAGCAATATATTCAGTAATGTGGCTTGCCGATGATAAGGGTCAAAAGCCACGTCGGCAATACAAGTGGATAAAGTTAAAGCACATAATCTGGTCACGTGACCTAATAAAAACGTTGGATTCTGGGACTTCGGTAATGAAAGTTCATATAAAGAGACTGCTGGGAGGATATATAACATCTATATATCAGACAAAACAATGACAAAAAGGTTTCAATGTAACACGTTCCGCCCTTAAAAAGAGAACGAAATCTTTTTGAGGACAAAACTCGAAACATGTGATTTGTTTTCCTTTTGTCATTCAATTACTCAGAGAGCAAAACCGCGATGGTCAGTCATAGAATTATTTTTTTTTAATTCATCCACGTTTGAAGGGTATTTATTTGTTCTTAACTTTCAGAGCTTAACATATTAAGGCGCGTTGGGGGCGGGGCGTTAAAATCATATTGTTGAAGATGGTCAGACGAAGTGAAATGAGAACACCCCATCTTCTGTCCAACACGTCTCTTTTCCTGAATAGGGCAAGCGCTATCGACTACATATGTTGTGTTGTATTTTCTGTACTGATGTGAGCAAATCACTTTCTTTTTGCAATATTACATAATCTTCAGAATGGGTAGGACACATCTTCCTTAAAAATCAACTATTGATGAGTTGTTGCTTCTTATCAAACTGAGTTAGACAGATGGAATATTTCGTTAAAGTTCCATTAGGAGTTTTCAGTTCGTGTTTGAATGTGACTATATGCGACTGTTTTAAAAGAAAATAACGTCTCTACTTTGGTGGGTAATAAATTTGAAAAATAGATATGAACAAAATTAAATAGATAGATAGATAGATAGATAGATAGATAGATAGATAGATAGAGAGATAGATAGATAGAGAGAGAGAGAGAGAGAGATGAAGAAAGATAGAGAGAGAGAGCTGAAGATAGATAGATAGATAGATAGATAGATAGATAGATAGATAGATGAAGATAGATAGGTAGAGAGAGAGATGAAGAAAGAGAGAGAGAGAGAGCTGAAGATAGATAGATAGATAGATAGATAGATAGATAGATAGATAGATAGTTTGAGAGAGCTGAAGATAGAATCTAGATAGAGAGAGAGAGAGATGAAGATAGATAGAGAGAGAGAGAGATGAAGAAAGATAGAGAGAGCTGAAGATAGAGAGAGATGAAGATAGATAGATAGATAGATAGAGAGAGAGAGAGAGAGATGAAGAACGATAGAGAGAGAGAGAGCTGAAGATAGATAGATAGATAGATAGATAGAGAGATAGATGAAGATAGATAGATAGAGAGAGAGATGAAGAAAGATAGAGAGAGAGAGAGAGAGCTGAAGATAGATAGATAGATAGATAGATAGTTTGAGAGAGCTGAAGATAGAATCTAGATAGAGAGAGAGAGATGAAGATAGATAGAGAGAAAGAGAGAGAGAGATGAAGAAAGATAGAGAGAGCTGAAGATAGAGAGAGATGAAGATAGATAGATAGATAGATAGATAGATAGATAGATAGATAGAGATAGATAGATAGAAAGATAGATAGAGAGAGAGAGAGATGAAGATAGATAGATAGAGAGAGAGATGAAGAAAGAGAGAGAGAGAGCTGAAGATAGATAGATAGATAGATAGATAGATAGATAGATAGATAGATAGATAGATAGATATTTACAATATGAAAACTAAACAGACATTAATTAAATTGACATTAAAATAGTTTCAGCTATACGAAAAAATAAAACATATAAAAACAATGATGCAATTATGTTATAACAAGCATTATTTGATTCAGAGAAAGCATTTAATACGTAACAAGTGTCAAGCCATCACTCATAAGCCTTTTCCTTGCCTACATAACAACCAGAAATTAAAGAGTTTTTTTTTTATATGGTAATGGCATTTATTACATCCCTTTAAATACGATGGTCCCTGGATGATACCATAACGTATACAATTGTGATTTGCGCAAAAAGCGATGCGGACGACGCAATCTATGCCTCTAACGGAACGCTGCTTTCAGAGAAACAAGGTTTCTGGTACCAAACTCTACCACATAATAGTTAATATACGTGACTGTTGGAAGCCATGGTTCTTTTACTGATATATATATATATATATATATATATATATATATATATATATATATATATATATATATATTTAAGCATTTCACCCCCCAAGCAAGGCGGGAAGCCACTAGAACCCAAGGGGTTACAGAAAATTTAGAGCAAGATCAGATAGGAGTGATAGAAGAAAGGATGAGGGAAGTGGATAGGTCAAGGCAACTGGAGATGTCGATTGACATTACACTTGAATAGCTGGAGATTATAGCTCACAGGGAAACAGGAATAGGGAAGGGAGTTCCACAGGCGAGAGGTGCGAGACATGAAGCTATTGGAGTAGTAGAGACGGCTACATTTAGGAGTTTCGACAGTGAAGGGGTGAGAGCGGGATGCTAGCCTCGTATGGCGCTTGAACTCATGACGTCTGGGAACCAGCGAATGCAGCTCCTCGGAGCAATTTCCATGAAAGTATTTGTAGAACAGACAGAGGGAGGCGACGGCGCGTCTGTGAGAAAGTGACTGTAGACGAGACGCCAGGGCAGGGCCAACTACATTGCATATCTGCCTCTGGAGCCTATCAAGAACCCCGAGGCAAACAGAAGGGGCACCAGACCATATATGGCAGCAATACTCCATGCAAGGGCGAATTGTGGATTTATAGATCTGGAGGATCGACTCCGGGGAGAAAAACTTCCTGGCGCGGCTCAGGGAGCCAACTTTCCTTGCGGTGGACGAAGCAATTGACTCAATGTATTTATTCCATCTCAGGTCAGCAGTCAACGTGAGACCGGGAAGCCGCAGAGAGTTGCTCTCGAGAAGTTGAGCGTCAGACATTCTAATGGAGGGAAAGGAAGGATCTCTGTCGTGATTAATAGAGAGCAGTTTTGTCTTAGAAGCGTTTGATGTGCCAGTTTTTTGTTTTATTCACACTTTTTGCATAATGTGCGTATTTACCAAATACGAAACAGGGGCTTACCATTAAATCTTGAAAAAAAAAGTGAGAAAAATAGTTTTACAACTTGAGTTATTCTTTCACTAATATAAGAAGCTTTTGACAGATCCTAACTACGATGTTCTCTTCCTATTTTCCCGTTACAGGCGGATAACCGTTCAATGTTCACAAAAGTCTCAAAATTAACCAATAGTGGCAAAAGCAAGCTGAAGCAAAAAGTTTTTCGTTGATTGCTGGGCATGCTGTTAAACTGTTTAGAGCCGAAGATGGGACAACAACTCGTATCAGTTCTTGATGATATTATTTGTAATTTGAATCTATAGAAATGCAGAATTAAGGACCTATTAATAAGTATATAGAAATGCAAAATTAAGGACCTACTAATGAGTATATAGAAATGAATAATTAAGGACCTATTAATGAGTATATAAAAATGAATAATTAAGGACCTATTAATGAGTCTACAGAAGTTAATAATTAAGGAACTATTAATGAGTCTATAGAATTGAAAAATTAAGGACCTATTAATGAGTATATAGAAATGCAAAATTAAGGACCTACTAATGAGTATATAGAAATGAATAATTAAGGACCTATTAATGAGTCTACAGAAATGAAAAATTAAGGACCTATTAATGAGTCTACAGAAATGAATAATTAAGGACCTATTAATGAGTATATAAAAATGAATAATTAAGGACCTATTAATGAGTCTACCGAAATGAAAAATTAAGGACCTATTAATGAGTCTACAGAAATTAATAATTAAGGACCTATTAATGAGTCTATAGAATTGAAAAATTAAGGACCTATTAATGAGTCCACAGAAATTAATAATTAAGGACCTATTAATGAGTATATAGAAATGAAAAATTAAGGACCTATTAATGAGTATATAGAAAAGAAAAATTAAGGACCTATTTTCCTATTTTACAAATTCTATACAATATTGTAGTCGGGCCCATATTATGTATGATATGTGGCTCTTAAGTATAAAATATTTTTTAAATCTTGTGTATGCAGAATAAATATTACGGATAAAATAGTCTCTCCGGACTATGGAATCTACTAAGGTGGCTAGCTAATCCCTGTTGCAGATACCTGCAAAGGCATATTTGTGTTTCTTCAACACCCACAGAACAAACCTATGATACCCACAGCAGACTGATACATCCGCACAAGTAGCCAGGCCTCTGTGGGGAGCGGGGATATCGGGTCGCTATCTCTAGATAGATTTACAACCAAAGCTGAAGAGCTTCCAGTTGCTTATGAGATGAGGACATGTGACTTCATGTTAGCACAACCATCGACAGCTTCAGAACAGTTTCGTCGGTTCAATTTCACTCACAAGGCTTGGGTCCACCTACGCTCCTATTACAGATATAAATGTATAATATACGACACGTATATTGTATAATTAGCTAAATCTGACCAAATATCCAACCATTGGATTTCTTTTTGCTCCTTTCTTGGTCGGAACGAGATCATTTCAGCACTCTGGCCGATAATACATGGAGTACGCATTTATGCTAAGGTTAATGTTATCAAAAAGGAGATCAAAAGGAGGTGCCACACCAGTCGTGCAAGAGGTCCTACCACATTTGAAAAGAAACATTCAAAATAGTAGAGTTTAATGAAGCTTAAATACAGAATATTGGAGTAGATTGGAAATACTACTCAGTTCATGAACAGACTTAGATAGATAGACTTAGATAGATAGATAGAGATAGATAGATACGAACAGATAGAGATAGATAGATAGATAGATAGATAGATAGATAGATAGATAGATAG